CGTTACTGACGCTTCATCTTTGTGGCCTCCCATATACAACGGTGTCGCTACATAGATGCATTCTTGGGGCCTGGGTCTCTATGCTCATGTTTAGGCGGCCCATGATGAACTTGCTCAACAGGTCTTTTGCTCTGGTCAATTCCTATCTGGCTTGTGATGATGCTTGCCTCATTCCGCTTCCTAGAGAAGTGGCATGTGAACTTGTGCTGGTTGCTGTTCTTGCTCCCCTGATGCAGACCGACATTGCGGTTCCCTTCTCTCCAACAATTTTTGCAACTGATGCCTCCGACAGCAGAGGAGCTATTTGCAGTACAGAGGCTACACCGGAGTTAGCACAGCTGCTTAGCAAACATTGCAAAACGAAGGGGGCTTACACTAGGTTGCAATCTGAGTGGACAACCTTGAAGAGGAGAGTCTTTGCAGAGGATGCTATCGAGGAGGAACTGGCTCAGACGTCACTGCAGAAGCCCCTTGCGTTTACATTCAGCTTTATTGAGGTTTTTGCTGGAGCTGCCAGAGTCACCAAATGCATGGGCGATCTTGGGGTCTCTTGCGGTCCTCCTTTGGACCTCTCCTTTTCATCGGAATACAACCTGAAGAGCACGCATGTCTTGGAATGGTTATTTCATCTCATTGAGGAGGGTTCTTTGAAGGGCCTGATGATTGAACCTCCATGTACCACTTTCTCAATCATGAGAAGACCGGCTTTGCGGGACGCTTCACACCCGTTTGGCTTCAGCCCTCATGAAGAGAAGACGCAGGACGGGAACATACTGGCACAAAGAGGTTTGCAGCTGATGTGGAAAGCTGGTGTTCATGGTGCATCGGCCATGTTTGAGAGGCCCTTCACGGCCAAGTCAAAGCACTTGCCTTCATACAAAGCAGTTGCAGCCCTCTCGAATGCGACCGAGATCAGGTGTGATTCGTGCCAATTTGGCTCCCCTCATCAAAAGTCCTTTGCTCTTCTTGGCATCAATCTTGACATGGCCCCCCTGAATCGAAGATGCAGAGGTCAGTGCCGGCATATCCCCGTACAGGGGGTTTACACAAAGTCGTCAGCCATTTATACAGAGGAGCTCGCGCAGACCATAGCGGAGGTCTTTTTCCAGAGCATTCAGCGCTCCTTTGATGAGGACGAGGAGGCTGCTGTGCCGGTGACCGGCCTTGAAAACCAGTTGGTTAATGAGATCATGCTCACCAGCCCCTGGACGGTGGAGAGCTCTTGGAAGTTCAAAAATGGCTCACACATCAACCTCCTGGAGATGAGATCAGTGGAGAGGCTCCTGGAGAAGAGATCAAAAAGGGGACCTTCCAGGATAGTATGCATGGTCGACTCTTACGTGACCCGCTGTGCCCTGGGCAAAGGCAGATCAGCCTCCATAGCCTTATCTTCAGTCATTCGGAGGATTGCTTCCACTATGGTGAGCTTTGGGCAGTATCTGGTCACCCCTTTTTGCCCTACTCGGCTAAACTGTGCTGATGATCCCACTCGAGATCGTGAGCTCAGGAGGCCTGTGAAGGGCCTAAACTGGCGAGCCTTGTCGGAAGAGGAGCTGTGGGCTTTGGCATCCATTAGGCTCACCAAGAGATGGGCTTCGAACTGGATTAGGCTGGTTCTGCTACTTATGGGACCCTACGTTGCAGAGCTTTCCAACAGAGCAATCTACAGATATTCTCGGCTTTCTCCGTCTCCTGCTTCCTCATGTCCTTCCACAGATGGACGCACCTCTCCTCAGATTCACGCTGGCGGAAGATTGGACTTCGATCAGACTTTGGGCTTCCCTGGGGAAGGGCCTGGTTTTGGCCGTTCTTCGCCTTGGTTTTGGGCATTCAGCTCCAATGTTACCTCTGGTGTCCCGATTGACTTCGAAGGACCTCTCCCTCATTTCGCTTTCCCGGCACGGCCTCCTGGGCTCTCCTGCTGGCGCTGGGGTCCCTGCTGGGTGCTGGGTGCTGTAGTGATTTTCCAGGGTTTACCGGGCGCACACGCCATGGAGCCGAGAACAACTGCCGATCATGCTCGTGCAGCACTTAGAAGATCCAGGCCAGTGCTGCCGGAAGGCAGACCCACTCTGGATAGGACAAACAAATTGAGAGAAAGGTACTGGGAACAATTTTTAGGCTGGCTGGAAATTGAGGGCATAGATTTTTCTGCGCTTCTGGCTGATCATAGCCATTACATTGATGAGATAAACACGGTCCTGACAGCCTTTGGTCGTGCTCTGTACAGGGCAGAAAGACCATACAACCAGTATGCAGAAACAATAAACTGCCTCACCTCCAAAAAGCCGGCACTGAGACGCTGGATGCAGGGAAGCTGGGACTTAGCGTTCCAATGGATGCAAGCGGAACCAACAGCTCATCATGTAGCCATGCCCTGGCAGGTTTTACTGGCGATGACAACAGTATGCCTAATGTGGGGGTGGCTTCCGCTCGCTGGAGCTTTGTGTTTGATGTGGGGAGCATTGCTTCGGCCGGGCGAATTCCTGAACGCACTTAGGCTGGACCTGCTTCTGCCCCGCGACGTGGAACAAACTATATCCTTCGGGATCTTGGCGATCAAAGAGCCAAAAACACGCCATACTGGTGCAAAACACCAAGCTGGAAAGATTGATGTGCCGGATCTGCTAGCTGTAGTTGACTTGGCATTTGGCGACTATGAGGGTGGACGCCGTCTCTGGGGACACTCTGGCCAAACGTTGAGGTCAAGGTTTCAGGCTGTGCTAGCGGCCCTCCAGCTACCTACGGCGAAGACTGGAGCGCTTAAACCGCTCGATCCAGGCTCTCTTAGAGCAGGTGGAGCAACGTGGCATTTGCAAATGACCGAAGACGGCGAGTACTGTCGTCGCAAGGGTCGCTGGTTGTCACAAAAAGTTATGGAAGTCTATGTTCAAGAAACCACAGCCCTCCTTTACCTCAAGAAGATCGATCCTAGCGCACGTGATCTGATTCTGGCTATGGCAGGTTTGTTCCCTCGCATCTTGGAACTTTGTCAAACATACAAAGCATTGCACCTCCCCTCCGTGTTGTGGTGCAACCTCCTGAAGACCGAAGCTTGGACGTGAAGGGGACGACGGGTGTCAAGCAGAGGTCAAAGCAAACCCTCTGCCTGTGAACCTCAA